ACCCCCGCCCCAGAGCACGGCTCTCGGGGTGCTGTGGTGTCCCTGTCACCAGCCCCATCCTGTCCTTGTCCCCATCCCAGTGAGACCAGGGTAGCCCAAGGTGGGGGCTCAGGCACTGAGGTCCCATGGGAGCCTGGCGTGGGGACATTTATCCCATTTATCCCAACCCTTCAGTGCAATCCCAGAGTCAAGCACCACAGTTGCTCTCCAGGCCCAGAAAGCTTGGCTCCGCTCTGAGCATTGTCCCCACACCTCGCTCGGTGTGTAGGTCTAATATTTATTTTTCATTTTGCAGAAATACCTTTGTTCTGCTTTATTTATTTTTGTTAAAAGGCCCTCCCTTGCAAAGCATTTCCTGGTCTGCTGGGGACTGGGCTGGCTGGAGGGGCAGGGCCCCACACACCCGGGGTCCCCCTCACCTGCCCTTGGCGGGGGGTCCCCACTCTGCTTGGATGCCACCATCCCGTCTGGGTGGGGTCACCACCAGTGACACGTCCCTGCTCGGTGGGGATGCAGTGGTGGGGAGGTACTGGGGTGTGAAACCCTCCTGGGATGTCTCGTTCCTTGTTTATGGTCGGAACCGAGATAAACGGGTGACCTTCGAGCGGGCGTGAGCCGCCGGGTGCCGCTGCCTCTGTCCTGACACAGCACGGGGACGTGGCTGTCCCCATGCTGGTGGCCGTCTTACCTGGTGGCAGAGCAAGGCCAGGAGCAGTCCCCAATTAACCATGTCTTCATTAGTTGGGGGGGGGGGGTGGGAAGTGCCAGAGGAAGCGGCTTTGCCGGCCGGATCTCGCAGCTGACGTCCCCAGGGCCACCGTCCCGGGCAGGGACAGGCTTCTGGCACAAACAACCCACAAAGGCCAGGAAGGAAGGGGGAGGGAGGGACGGACAGACGGACGCCCCACGTCCTCCTTGAGGAGCCCTGACTGTGCCGGGGCAGCAGCGAGGGTCTGGGATGGGGAGGAGGGGAGGGGGTGATGCTGGATGGGCCAAGCGTGCAGCCCCCTGGTAAAGCTGGGGAGGTGTCACCCTGGGGGTGCAGAGCAGGGCGCCAGGACCCCCTCCCCGAGCTGCGTGTCTGTCTGTGCTTGTCTCCAGTGGGACCTGCTGCGGTGGCTCCGTCCAGGGCGGCATCGCTCACGGTGGCACTGGGGTCTGTGGGCCCTTCTGTGGGGCACATCCTGCAGCCTCTCCCCTCCCCAAATGCTCGCGGGGGCTCCCCACAACTTCTGTCTTCATAGCCGTGAGGGACACCCCACTGCAGCTCTGCTGGGGCTCCGGGCAGGATTGCTGCGGCTGCTCCGGGGATTTCTCCAGCCCTGTGGGATGGGGACCAGTGTTGTGCCTGGAACCAGTGTCCCTGTGTGCCTGGGGCCACCGTCCAGGCCCCGCTCGAGTGCGGGTGAGTGTCCCCACCGTCCCAGCACACAGCTGAACGCCGCTTCTCTGCTCCAGGTGAAGAACGTGGCGGATGGGGCCAGCGTGCAGGACGAGACAGCCACGCTCGCCTACTCGGAGAAGCCGACGAGCCCCATCACCGCGCCACCCTACAGCCCCCCCTCCTACAGCTACCCCCCCCAGAACGGGTACTACCCCTCCGGGACCTACAGCAGCCGAGGGTGAGTGGCCAGGCAGGGCGTGGCAGGGCTTGGGGTGGGGATGGATGGACGGACAGACACACCCCGGGCACACATCCTCCCCCATGTCCCCGTGTCCCTTGTAGTGACCAGCCAGACCGGGCGCTCAGCCCCAGCCCGGCGGAGGAGAAGGTGCGGGAGCAGCCCACCAAGCCCCCCGCCCGCCGCGGCCGCCGCCGCCGCCGCAACCCCGAGCTGGACGAGTCGCAGTATGAGACCGACTACACCACGGCCGTGGAGTCCGGTGACGAGCGGGACCAGGACCAGTGGGCCAGGTGAATGGTGGGGACACACACCCCGCTGGGAGCACCCCCTGCCCCTCCCCACCTCCAGGGCCTGACCCTGCCCCTCTCCCGCAGCCTCTACCCCCCATCTCCTCGGACGGCACCCGCCAGAAGTACAAGCAGGAGTTCGACACGGACCTGAAGCGCTACAAGCAGCTCTGCGCCGAGATGGACAGCGTCAACGACCGCCTCAACCAGCTGAGCAAACAGCTCGACAGCATCTCCGAGGACAGTCCCCAGTACCAGGTCAGGGCTCTCCAGGGGCCACGGGGATGTTGTGGGGCCACTGGGACACGGCAGGGCACTGGGGATGGGTGCTGTGGGGCATCAGAGGTGCTACAAGTTGTTTGGGACATCGGGGATGCTTTAAGGTGTTGGGGACATCAGGGATGGATGCTGTGGGACATCGGGGATGCTGCAAGGTGTTGGGGACATGAGGGATGGATGCTGTGAGACATTGGGGATGCTGCAAAGTTGGGGACATCAGGATGGATGTTGTGGGACATCGGGGATGCTTAAGGTGTTGGGGACATCAGGGATGCTGCAAGGTGTTGGGGACATTGGGGATGCTGCAAGATGTTGGGGACACTGCAGGGCATCAGGGATGCTGTGGGGTCTCAGGGACACTACCAGACATTGGGAATGCCACGGGGCATCGGGGATGCTGCGGGATACAGGTCACTGCTGGTCCCCATGGGGCAGCGACCCCCATGGCCCCCGGCTATGCTGCCCAGTGACCCCGCCTCTGCCCCCATCCCCCCCCATCCCTTTTCAGGATGTCGCAGAGGAGTACAACAGGCTGAAGGACCTAAAGCGGGTGAGTGTCAGAGCGGGGCCGGGCTCTGTTTCCAGCTGAAGTGGGGCTGGGTTGGTGCGATGCAGCTGGGGGGGGCTGGGGGGGTGGTGTGGGTAGGAAGCGTTGCGGGGTGGAAACCAGCCCCCTCCCCATGGCCCACGCGGCTGAGGCTGGTCCTGGGCTGCTTTTCAGAGCCCCGACTACCAGACAAAGAAGCTGGAGACCAAAACCCTGCGCAACAAACTCTTCCACATCAAGAGGATGGTGAGCGACTATGACAAGGTGCGGGGGTAGCCTGTGTCCCCCCCGCTGCCATAGCAGGATGGGCACGAGGGGCTCCCTGCTCCCCTCCCTACCCCCCCTCCAAAGACTTATGTGCATTTTGTACCTTTGTATAAAAAAAAAAAAAAACAAACCCAAGAGTCAAAGCCACCCTGTGATGTTAGTGCCAAGGGTGCGGGGCCGGAGGCGGCTGCTGGAGTGAGCCCCCCCGCCCCCTCTATGTGTGCCCCCCCTGTGCCTTCTCCTGTATGCTGGGGGCTGTGGGTCCCCTCCCACTGCTGTAAATGTTTGGGGAGGGTCTGCTGCCCCTGCCCACACCAGGGTTGGGGTACCAAAATGTGGCTGTAGCCTGGTGCCGGCAGGGATGGGGCAGAGCATCCCTCAGCTGGGCAGTCGGGAGGGGCAGAGCCCCACATCCCCTGAGCCCCCAGGGCTGCCCTTTGGGGCATAGCCCAGGGCAGAGGTGGTATTTTATAAGGAACTGGCTGAAACTGTGTAATATTTTTTTTTTTTTTTGTTAAAGAAATAAACTGTATCTATTGATTTTAAATCAGTGTCGGTGTGACTGGGGTCATGGCAGGGCCAGGTTCTGGGAGAAACTCCATGTGTAGGGAGAAACCCCAAAATCCTACCTTGGGGGGCCCCTCAAATCGCCCACCTTGCTCCCTGAAGTCCAGGTACAAACCTCTGTGCTGGCTCCTGCTCCCCTTCATGCCGCTGAGCCGGTTCTTTCCCAGCAGACTGCAGGCAACAAGATTTATTCCTGAGGGACCCCTGTGTTGAAGAACATCACCCAGGAGTCCCCCACAAAATCCCCAGGGTTTCCGAAAACCATCCAATTTTAGGTGCCTTATTCGGGCTTGAGTTTTTGGGGCTGCAACTCCCACTTTGCTTCACCTCCCTCCACCACCCCAGGGTAGGCTTCAGCATTGCTGCAGGATCAGCCCCTTTCCCTGCTCACAGCGGATCCCCGGGATTGTAAGAAACATCTTTTATTGACTTCAGTTAATTTGTTTTAGTATCATTGAACAAGGATTATATTTTCAGTGAATCAATCTAAATGACAAATCCTCGGCTAATCCTGCCTCCGTCTGTCTGCATGGTGGATACCCCTGAGAAGCAGAACCCTGGGGGGGGGGAACCACAGGGCATCCCCCATCCCTCTGCGGTGGCTCTGCCCCCCATCTCTGTGTGCCCCTTTCTCTGGCACAGCTCAGCCCTGGGGACAAGGACCATCCCTTTCCAGCCCAATTTTGGTATGTCTCCCCCTCACAACTCTCTGACCCAAACCTGGCTTAAAAAACCCAAAAATAATTAGGCACAGAAACACAGCGAGCATGGGGGATGCTGGCACCCATCTCCCCCAGTGCGGGGAGGGTGGTGGGTGCTGGATCTGGCCCAGGGTGGGGGGAAAAGCACCAAGCGAGGTGGGGGGGGGGGGGGGGGGCAGGGGAGGAAAGGAGAAGAGCAGGACAAACCCAAAAAGGACTGCTTGGTTTGCACCCTGCATGGTGCATGGCCCCAGCCAGCTGCTTATGTACCCCATCTCCTCCCCTGTACCCCCATCCCCACCCATGAACCCCCCGCCTCCTCATGCCCCAACAGTGGAGATGCTTCAGGGAAAAGTGCAGGGGGCAAGGAGGGGGGGGGGGGGGGGGCTGGGACCAGGCATGGACAAACCGAGTCCCCAAAAAGGGGCTGCTCCAAGCTCAGTGCTTCAGTCCTCGAGGCTGGATGCAGCCTGGGCAGGAAGGGGCAGCCCCCCCCACCCCCAGCAGAGCACAAAGGGGCTTTAAAATGACCCTTTTTCCCCCCATTGCCAGGACTGGGCTGGGGGGAGAGGCAGGGGGTCCCGCAGCTGGACCCCCCCAAGGATGGCTCTGCATAGCCAGGCCCCCCCACACACACCCCCCCCCCAGCCTGGCTGGTCTCACCTCCCTTCACCTCTTGTCATCTGAAATTCAGATTTGGGCGGGCAGCCAGAGGACAGCGTCCCCTCTCTGGGCTCCAGCCCGGCTCCGACGCAGGGACAGAGCGAGGGACCAGCCCCGGGGATGCTCCAATGTCCCCGGGGGGGGGCCAGGGAGCTCCACTTCAGCGGGGTACAGAAGAGTTCGGTGTCCAACAGCGGCGGCACGGCCAGTACCTTTGGGGTTAGGAGGGCAACGCCGCGACCCCGCTGCTTTTGGGGGGACGGTCGAGCTACCAGACGGCTGCGGGGCAAGGGGGCCAGCGCAGTTCGGGGCTCCCCAGGGACGGCACCATCTTGGGGTGCTGGAGGGAATCCGAGTCCGGCTGCTGGGGGTCCCTGGGCAGAGGTGGGGAGGAGAGGCTCTGTCCCCTACTGCCCCGTCCCATAGGGCCAGTTGAAGGTGCTCCCGGACAGCAGCATGTCCCTGATTAGTGTTTCGATGGGCGTCTTCCCCACCAGCCTCATGAAGAAGAGCTGGGAGATGAGGGCGGCCGGCACGGCCCGGAGCGCCGGCAGCCGCAGCAGGAGCCGGCCGAAGCGCTGGGGCTGCGAGGGGTACTGCGACCGCACGTACTCCGTGAGAGCCACCTGCGCCTTCTCCTGCAAGCTCTCCACGTGCGCCGGGTCCGAGAGGCCGCAGGCATCTGCGAGAGGGATGGGATGCAGAAGGGGGTCAGTGGTCGGAGCCTCCCCGATACCCCCAGATTGCCCCCGCCTCGACCGACGCCGAGTCGGGGGACACAGCGCGGTGCGAGAGCGTGGCTTGGCTGCGAAGGGCTGCTGCAGGCTCGTGCCTGTTAGGAAGGACCAAGCACCTCTGCAGCATGAGATAAGCACGGATGGACCATGATATGGGGCTCCCCAAGATTCCCCCCCACCCCGGTGGATGGAGGGGGGGATATTTGTGTTCCTGCAGGTCTCATTCCCATTGCCCCGGGGAAGCTCATCCCTGCACCCAGGCGGATAAGCAAACCGTGGTAAAGTGCCAGGGCATAAGGACCCCCTTCCATCCCCCTCCAAGAGCCGTGTGATGCTCTCTGGATCCCAAAGCCCCAGGGAAATGGCAGGGTGGGGGGTCCCAGCTCCGCGGGGCAGTCGGGAACGGAGCCTGGCCACAGCACCAACCTACCCGGCGTGAAGAGCGCGATGGCTTTGAGGCAGCTGTACTCAGCCGAGTCCACCTGGAGCCGGTTGAGCTTCTCCACCTGATCCTGGAAGATGCGGATCTGGTCCATGAAGGAGACGACGCGGTCGGCCGACATAGGGGAGGCGTGGAAGCCGGCAGCGGCCAGCAGCGGGGCCATGTGCAGCGGCAACGCCGACTGTGCCGCGTTGAGGACGAAGAGCTCGCTCCAGCTGAGCCGGAGCAGGGCTACTTGGTCGGAGACGGGCAACTCAGGGAAAAAGGGGATGTTCCGGGCCCATTCCACCGTGCTGAAGAGGAGGCGGGCGGCCAGCTCGCAGATATTGTCGATGCCCATGACGCTGCCCTGCTGCGCGTACTGCGAGCCGTAGCGGGCGGCCGGGTAGGGCTCAGCCCGCAGCAGTTGCGAGATGAGCTCCGACACCGGCTGCCCGTTGAAGTATTCCCCACTGGGCATGGTGTTGGGGCTGGTGCTGGAGTGGGTGGGGGGGATCCGGCCCCGCTGCACAGCTAGAGGGGAGAGGAGAGGTGTCTGCTTGCTTCTGCATCCCCCATCCTGCTCCCAGGGTGGGTAAACAGGGCTCTCCAGCCCTGTGAAGGGTGAGGAAGGACGGGGATGCTCCCGCCACCCACCCAGCACCCTGGCATCCCCGGCAGGGCCGGATCCTGCCACCCTTGGGGAACAATGGTCAGCTTGCAGGGAGAGGGAGGTGGTACGTGCCGCCTGCTGCGCCCGCCGGCGAGCTGCCTGCAAGAGCTACACTCATCTCTTTAAAATCCCGGTGATTCACCAGCAACTCCCAGGCTGCCAGCGCCGCGGCTTGGCCGTGGCCTCCGACCAGCAGCCGGGCTAGGACAGCGTCCCTGTCACCTCCTCCTCTGCAAGGACCCGGCCCAGGAGCAGCCCCGGCTGCGCTGTGCCAGACCGGGTGCCCCCCCCCCCCCCCCCGCGATCTGGCTGCAGCGGAACAGGGCGACTGCTACCCAAGGTCATCACATGGCAGCAATCATTTATTTGCAAATAAAACGTCCATCTTGGAAGCGTCGTTAACCCTGGGGCACTGCCCCTCCTAATTGCATTCAGGGAGAGCCATTTTTCAGCTCCCCCCCCTCTCCCATTAGCGCCCACTATTTGCTCAGTCCCTAGTAATTAATTTATGGGCTGTTCATGAGCCACTTAAATGAGAGCTCTAAATCATGCTAAGTGGCAATAATGCCATCTTGACTCCTCTGGAAAGCAGGGAATTACTGTCCTGCTTCCAGTAGCCTTCCCCCTCTTTGCTCCTCGCATTAATGCCACCCGCTGCCGAGCAGCCCCGGCAGAGCCCGTGCCGAGCCCAGGCATCCCCATCCCACCATGGGGGGATCTGAGATTTGGGGCTTCGTCCCGTTTGCAACAGCTTGGGAAGCCTTTGGGGTTCACACCCCCCCCACCCTGCCCGGGTGATGGGGAGCAAGCAGAAAGCGGGCAGGGGATTTGCACGGCCCCGGTCATGCCGGGAGCCCGTCCCTGCCGACCTCCACCATGCGTGGGGCACCGGGGCCGTTGCGGCTCCAGGTGTGTCACCTTATCAGCTCAAGGCTTTTCCAAACAAACACCACCTGCGCTGCCAGCACTGAGGGCAATTCAAGGAGAAAAAAAAAAAAAAAAGAACTAAAAAATAGAAAAAAAACAAAGGGAAAAATGGGGGGCATTGATGCAAACAGGGTTCCCAGGGAGGGGTTCTGCAGTGGGAGCGCGGCGGGCACTGGCAGCACTGGGAACTCGTGGCTGGTGAGGCAGCAGCCTCACGCTGCAGCAGTGGAGTTCACTGGGACCCCTCAGGAACTCTCCCCGCGGCGCTGGCGTTACCTTCCTTCCTCATCCCCACACGGAAACACTTCTTCAGGCGGCAGTACTGGCATTGGTTGCGGTGGTGCTGGTCGATCTGGCAGTCGCGGTTGGACCTGCGGGCAGGACCGGGCAGAGTGAGGTGCCAGGGAGGAGGGATGCGATGCTGCTGGGGGTCCCTGCACCCCACACCCTCCCCCCCCCCCCCAGCTGCTTCACCACCCACTTTCCCAGCACCCTTGGGCAAAGCCCTTTGCCTCGGAGCGTGGCCCCCTCCGCCGCTGTGCCACGCCAGCCCCCAGCGTGCCGATACAGGCACTCCCAGGCGGCACTTGGATGCTATGGAAACAGCCATTTCCTACAGCAGGGGCTACCAGTTGGCATCAGGGGCTACCAGTTGGCATTGCCAGCGATGCCCAGGGCAAGTGGGGAGACACCCCCCACCCACCCCCTCAAGGGCATGGGGTTCCCATCCTTCCATCCTCAGGGACATGTAGGGACCGGTGCCAGGGAGTGATGCCCAGTGTCCCAGCAGCCTCCTCGCCAGACATGTGAGGAATTTTGAGGAATTCCAAGTATTTCTTCGGGGCCAGGGCTGCCCCCACGGAGCCCGTGACCCCTCGGGCACTGAGTGCTTGCCGGGTCCCCCATGGCAGTGGGCTCCATGGGACCCTGCGAGCGTGGCAAAGCGAAACCCGGCAGCGCGGGGTCTGCACCGGCTGGAGAGACACTTTCCCCCCCCTCCACGAGCAACCTCAGAGCCTGCAAGGGGGTTGTGCCCACCCCTTGGCACACGGGTCCTGCCCCAGGCAAGGAGCCGTGGGCACTGGGTAGCCCTGCACCATGCGGTGAGGCACCAGCCACCCCCAAAGGCAACTCCTGCGGCATCACTGCGGGAAACACTCCCGAACGGCATCGTTAGCACCCAAATCCCCCCCCAGCCCCCGTTCCCAAAGGCCACCTCATGCTCACGGGCCCTGCACGGCCCAGCTATGGAGCGGGCACGGGTGACACCGGGCGCTCACATCCCACTCAAAGTCCGTGGCAGCAAACGGGGAGAAAAGTGGGGTTATCAGCAACCCAGCAATGAATTAAGGCACGGAAAGCAGTGAGCAGGAAAGCGCAGGCAGGGCCGGGCCGCGCCGGCGTCCAGCAGCAGCTCAGCTCTGCCTGGGAATCCTGACACGAATCTCCTCATCCTTACACGACTCCAGAGGCGAGACAGGCAGGGATTCCCACCGCGCTCAAACCGGAATTAATTCACCCCGAACATCACCACTGCGCTTAGCACATTTTAAAACGTGTTGCTGATAAAAAGTTATTCCAGCAGAGAAGTGATAGCTAATCAAAACGTCAGATTACATCTTCATCAGCTGCCTGCACCGCGGTGGTGGTAAAACTCCCAGCACAGCAGCCGAACCTCCCGGCCCAGGGCCTGGCGGACCCTCACCGTGGCCTCGGGGCACCATTCCCAGCACCAGGAAAACCCCAAAATCATCTCAGCTCCTGCCAGCGGGCTCAGAGCAAGTTTCCCAATTGATAGGCTGCAGCGACCTGGGAAACTGTGAGAATACAAAAGGCGTATACTGTGCTAATTATGTAATTAGAACATGTAATTATTTAGTGCAAGAACTAAACTGAATCCAACTCACTTTTAATATTCAAATTAGAGCAATCTTGGCTTGATGCTGCTTTTGACTCCTTGAACAAAGCAGATGCCAGGGCTGCCGGGGGAGCATTGTTCCTGGCCCCTCCGACACTTTACTCCCTACTTGGAAAACCAACGTTTTTCTATTGCACCAAATCATTTCCCAGCACAAATTGGGGGGGGGGGGGGGGGGGGAACCAAACCCACAAAACACCTGAAGTAGGTGCCCAGATACCAGTGACAGGCACAGGATAAAATCTTGGATGCTCACAACCCGGGAGAAGCCCCTCCATCACCCCCATACGGAAACGGCATCTGGGACGCAGAGTCCGTCCCCCTCCCGGGGAGCCCTGATTTGGCCTTTCCTTTGTTCCAGGAAAGGGAATTTCTCAAAAGCCATATGTATTCCCCATCTTCAAATCATTAATCCTGAGCAGGCGCTCGGCCGAGTCTGCTGGTCGGGATCCTGCTGATCAAGAGGGGAAACTGAGGCAGGGCCAGGGGCGACGCATCCGCACGCGCTGCATCCGTGGGCGGGCGATGGGGGGGGGGACACGGACACACTGCAGGGCCAGGGCTGAGGGGAACCAAACCCGGCCCCACGCCGGCAGCTCCGGGGCCCCATGCCACGGCCACGAGCAGCTCGGCTGACGTCAGCCGGGACCCGGCAACGCCGGTGCCGGGAGCTTGCCGGGAGAAGAGATGCTGCGCACGGGGGAGGACGAATCTAGGCCGCCCAAACGAGAGCAAGGCGGCTCCGGAGACGGTTCCCGCCGCAGAAGCGACGCTGCCCCTTCCCTTCCCGCAGCGTCTCAGCGCCACGAGCTCAGAGAAGGGAAGAAAACGGGGTGCAGAGGTGGGGGTGCCCCATTCCCAGCCCGGCGGCGGGGTGCTGCCGGCTGGGATGCGGGTGCCATCCTCGCAGCACCCTCACTGGTTTAGCAAGAAGCGCTTGCACGTGGATCCAGACGTGCGAGCGAGCCCCTACAAACACATTTCCCCCCTCCAGAACTGGAGGTGTGTATGGGGGGGGGGGGGGAGCTGCCCCGCGTGCCCGATGCTTCTTCCGAGCCCAACAGAAACTCTAGAGTTCTCCACAGCTCCAAACTTCGCAGGGGGGGTCGTATCCCGGTGCTGCTGGTGGGCCCGGATCTGCTGCAGCGCTGGCCCGAGCGTGGGGGCCTGGGGAGGGAAGTGGGGGGGCCACAGCTCTAATTCCCACCATCTCACCGGATTGTTGCCCACAGCAAGCCGGGCTGTTGACACCTCCGGTTAAAATTATACTCGCTGCCACTACTGGTGATTCCTCTGGGTAAGAGCAGCCGTGACCGAAGTGACTCACAGCCCCGGCACGTTTTTAGGCGTTATTAGCCTGGAACGGTAATTAATGCCGGAGCAGAGCTGGGCGATGACGAGGACCTGGACACTGGCTGTGGCCCGTGGCCCAGGGGCAAGCAGGGCATCCATCCCTCCGAGGGCTGGGGATGCGCCAGGCAGGGGGGGGGCTGCTGCTGCTGCAGGGAGGCAGAGGATGGGGGGGACCCTTGCGCCGCACTGGGGGCCACCGGGCCGCCCCATCGAGGCCCCCCCCGTTCGCGCTGCAGCGGGGCCAGCGCGGAGCTGCACCGGGGGCCACTGCAGAGCCACGCCGGGCAACCGCCACGGTGGGGACCAGCGAGAACCAGCAGCGTGGGGGGGGGGTGTGGGGGGTGGGGTCACCCTTAAACCCGCAACCAGCCCCCCCCCCCCCCGCCCCCCCCCGGCCCCTACCTGCAGGTGTAGCTGAGGTTCCTGCGGATGCTGCGTTTGAAGAAGCTCTTGCAGCCCTCGCAGGTGAAGACCCCGTAGTGTTTCCCGCTGGATTTGTCCCCGCACACCACGCAGTCCACGGCCGCCCCGGCCCGCTCCTCCTCGCCGTGCTCCGCGTCGCTGCCGCCGCCCGCGGGGGACGCCGCCTCCTCCCCGCCGCCGCCGCCGCCGCCGCCGCCGTTGGGCTCGCCCCAGCCGCCGGCCACCATGGCCATGGCTCCGCGGCCCCGGGGCTCAGCACCGGCCCCGCCGCCGCATGGAGCCCGGCGCCTCCCGGAACGAGTTGAGCAAGTTTGGGTTTTTTGTTTGTTTTTTTTTTTTTTTTTCCTTCTTTTTTTTTTTTTTTTTGGGGGGGGGGGGGGGAGCGGCGGCCGGTTTGGGATTTTTTTGTTTGTTTTTTCCCCCCCCCTTATCCCAAGGCTTCTTCCCTCCCTCCCTCCCTCCCCCCCCCCCCCTCCTCCCCGCGTTAACGGGGGGGCCTCGCGGAAACTTTACGGCGGCGGGAGCGGGGCGCGGCGCGGCGCATCCCCCCGCGGGGCACGGCGGCTGCCCCGGGGCTCGGCCGCATGCGGGGGCCGCCGCCGCCCGCCCCCGGTGGCTGCTCCGCTCCGCGGCACCGGCAGGGAAGGAGGAGGAGGAGGAGGAGAAGAAGGAGGAGGAGGAGGAGGAGGCGGCGCTGCCCCGGCCCGCCCTCGCCCCTACGGGCCCCGCCGCCGCCGCCGCTGCATGCAGCCCGGTCCGGTCCGGCGGGACCCGCTCCGCCGAGCCCCGGGGCTCTCCCCGCCTCCCGCGAAAGAGCAAAGTTCAGCCGCTGCCGCGGTGGCCGCCCTGGATGCTCCTCCCCGTCCTCCTCCCCTTCCGCTCGCCGCCCGCCGGGTCCTGCCCCGGCCCCGGCCCCGCCGAGCCCGGGAAGGGGAGGAGGAGGAGGAGGAGGAAGGGGAAGGAGGGGGGAAACCGGTCGGGGAGTCCCGCCGCACCGGAGCAGGGTGGCCGAGAGCACCGGTTGTAACGGAGGCGGGTACGGGCAGGGCGGTGCTGGGGCCTGGCAGGCGGTTTTGGCCGGCAGAGGTGGTTGGAGGTGACCCCCACACACACACCCCTCACCCCCCGTTTGGCCTTTGGGGACCCATCGCTGCCCCCCCCCCCCCCCCGCAGGGTGTGGCATCTTGTGGTGCCCGGGGTGCTGGGGCCGTGACGTGCCCTGCGGTCCTTGTCCCCCCTCCCACCCCAACAAGTGACCCCTAAACTGCAGCCTGCGGCAGCGGGGAGCCCAGGGGCAGATTCACCACCGAACGCTGCCCTTGGGGACGGGGACCAAACCCCGGCCCCGCTGTAACCGTCGTGATATGGGGGGTGACACCGTTGGGGGGGGGCCGTGGGCCGCGGCAGGAGGATGGGAAGCTGTTCCCCACGCCTGGCCGGTGGCCAAGCCGCTGGCATCGGCAATCCCCTCTTCTTGCCGACATTCCCAGCGGGATCTTTAATTACTGCAAGCGGTGCGAGGCCACGGCTCCTCGTCTCGTGTGGGGCACGAGGGCCGGGGTTGTGCCGTGGGGTGCTCCCACAGCACTCGGGGGTCCCTCCACCCTGGACGGTCACTGGGCCAGCGTGAAGGGCTGGAGGGGGCCGGGATCTGGCTGCCGGCAGCCCCGTAAAATCTGTTTGTAATGTGGTTAATCAAGTCGGACCCATAAGAGCTCGTCAGTCGGCCCTTGCAAGAAGGGGTGGGCTGGGGTGGTGGCTGGGGGGTGCGCAGCACCCGCCTGCTGCCACCCTGTTAATCATTAACGAAGAAATAAACTGTGCGGAAAGGTGCTTGACCCAGGAGCAGCCCTTGCGATATCGCCCTGCCTTCGCCTTTCACCTGGGGGCCAAACTCTCCTCCCGGCCGTGCCACGGCAGCCCCGGTGTCTCCCGGCAGCACGGCTTTCACCTTGACTTCAGGGGCAAAGTCCGGCGGGCAGGGAGCGGGGCTGGGCTGCGGGTGGGCTGGGTGTCCCCCACGCACCCCTCGGGGCAGGCTTGTCCCCAGGGGGGACCGGGATGCTGAGGATGCTGATGCCAAGCGATGCCCACGGCGCGAGGACGGGCTTGGCCTTTCACGGCCCCTTGTGCCACCAGCCCTGGCATTCCCAACCCACACGCTGGGGCCGGCGTTTCCGTCGGGAAAGGCGAAGCAAAACGGGCTGGATATAAAAAACTCCGGCCAAGCACGGAGCCCGCAGCCGGGGTGCAGCAGAGGCGGAGGAATTATGGCTCCAGCCATAAATAAAACCTCCATTTCCTCCTGTCTGGAGGGATCTCTGCTCACCAGGTACCTGCTAACACGGCCATGCCGAGGTGCCCGGCATGGGCTGCTGTGGTTGGGGAGCAACACCCAGCAGAGCCAGCTGGGAAGGCGCCAGGCTTGGAGGGGGGGGTCCCAATGTGGGCAGGGGGGGGTCACCCCCACCTGCAGCCAGCCCCGTTTCTCCTTTCTCTTCTGTCAGGCCGTGATTTATGGCCCTTTCCCTGCCGCTCCCCCGCCTCCTCGCCCCCTGCAAAAAATAATAATCCAGGAACAAAGGAGGAAATTGGATCTTCTCCCCGCGCGGCTCGCAGCCCCGCGGTGGGAGCGGGGTTTGTTTTGACGTCGGTGTCCAGTTGGCGAAGGCGTTTGATCTCCGGAGGAATTCCTCCTTCCTCGCGCTGCTCCGCTGACTCCACCACACAAAAGGGCCCCTGGGAGCTGCCGGCGCGTTTCGTGCCGCCCCGACGCCCCCGGGAAGGGTCCGGCACGGTGGAGGCGCCCGCCGGGGCTCGCGGAGGTTTCCGGGCTCAGTGTCAGATCCGGATCTGGTGCGGGGTGGCAGCGGAGTCCCCCTGCTCCCCCCCCAGCCTTTGGGCTGAGGGGGTGATTGAGCGACCCTGGCCAAAATGTGGGGGGGCCGGGCTGGGTTTGTGGCTGTGCCACCGGAGAGCTGGGTGCCAGCACCAATGGTGAGCTGGGTGCCAGCAGCACCAGCGAGCTGGGCACCAGCACTGATGGCAAACTGGGTGCCAGCAGCACCGGCGAGCTGGGTGCCGGTGCCACCAGCCCAGCCCTGGTTACTGGCATCCCAGTTAGCTGTGGGGCATCAGTGCCCTCTCCCAAACCCATGTGGGAGCTGCCAGCAGCGATGCTTCCCCCATGAGGGGCTGTGAAAGGGGTTTAGGTGGGTCCACGTCGGGCAGGATCCGGCCCTGCTCTGCCCTGGAGCAGCCCCCAGCCCCACTTTGCAGCGGGTGCTGCATTCCTGGGGGCCGGATCCTGCTGGTGGGCGGGCATGCGGACACGTGTGTGCGTGCCGTGGGCGACGAGGGCAGGCGTGAGCTGCTCAGGAGCTGGTGGGGGGGGTGGTGGTGAAGGGACCCTCCTGGCCGGGGGGATGTGGGGGGGTCCCGATTCTCCTGCAAGAGGCCGCGGGAACGCGTGACCTTGCAGGCTGAACCGCGCGGCCGCGCTGCCGCAAGCGAAGGACAAAGGGAGGCCGGGGCCGGCTGTGCCGGCTCCTCAGCTCCCCGGGCAGGGCTGCCCCACAGCCCCGTGCCCCACGGCTGCCCCACGGCACCGTCCTGCGCCCCTCCGCTCCAGCCAGCACCCACCGCGGGCCCGCGCAGTGAACACGCCTCTGCCGAGCACTCACACACGCGTGTGCACGGCACCCAGCAGCCCTGCACACGGGCGAGCGCACGCGTGTGCAAGCAGCAGCTGGGGGTTGGGGGGGGGGGGGTGTCCCCACACACACAAGGGCTCCTCTCTCCCCCCTGCAGCCCCCCCACCAGGGAAAGGCGTTTGTTGCCCCCTGATGCCTCAGTTTTGCCCCCAGCCCTGCAGAGAGGCCAAGGGGGACCCGACCTCCATCACCCCCAGCCCCCACCTTTGTCCCTGGCCCCCCCACCCCACCCCTGGAGAGGGCCGCTCCCTGCCCTGCATTCCCGGGATATCAGATCCCGCACCCCTGGCCCCCACCCAGCCATGGCCAGACGCTCCCTCCCCGGGGGGGCATGAATCACACACCCTCCTAACCCCCGCCCCCCCCCCCCGCCCTCCCTGCTGCTCCCGTGTCCCAGTGTCTCCTCACGCCTTCACCCCTGTGACCCCCTCCCCAGCACAGTCTGGCCCCCACTGCGGTGGTGTTTTGCAGCGCCCCCCCCCCCCCCCACTCTCCCAGGGAATGGGGTGCAGCCCCACACTTGGTCCTGTTACCCAAAGGTGCGGGGGGAATGTGTTGGGGGGGGGGTTTGCTGTTTGCTGTGGCCCCTCAGCCCATGCTGCTCCACAGAGGGGAAACTGAGGCAGGGAGCGGGACAGAACAGCAACATCTTCCAAAGCATAAACTTGGAATGTGGAGCCCTTCGGGGGGGGGGGGCGGGGGAGGCTGGAGGTTTTTGGGATGCGCATGGGGGTGAACTGTGGGCAAAGAAGAGGGGGGTCCTGTCACTCTGGCTGACACCACGGCACCAGGGGCCCCCAGTTCCCCTCCCCGAGCTCACGGCAGCGGCTCGGGGTGTGCCAGGGTGGGCAGTGTGGCTGGGCCCGGCGCAGCAGTGGGGTACGGGGGAGCCTTGGCCACCTCAGCCCCCCGCAGCTGCCGGGCACAGCGGGACCACCGCAGCCTTGGGCACCCCTGTCCATGTTGGTGCCCCCAGGGGGACCCGCTCCGGCCATGGGGTCAGCGGGACATGGGGGGGTGGGGGGACCCTGCCAGCCGGGGTGGGGGGTGGCAGCGGGTCCCGCCTGCCCTCCCCCTCTCCCGGCACCCAGGGTTGAAGCCGCCCCGGCCCTTTCATGCGGCTCTCGGTGGAGCCTGACCCCGCACAAAGCCCCCAGGAGCCCATTTGAATCTGAAAAGGGGTCTGAGAGCAGAGCCCTGACCTTCAACCTGCGGGTCAGCCCTTCCACACCACTGCCACTGGCCCCCCCTCGGGACCCCCCCACGAGTTGGGCCGAGCCATGGTCCCCACCGGGGCCTGGCACAGGGGATGCAGGCAGGGATGGGGCGGGAGCAGGCAGCACCGGCAGCATTCCCCGCTCTGGTAGCTGGGTGCATGACTTGCCCTTCCGTGCTGCTTATTCCCACATCCCCGCATCCCTGCATCCCCATATTCCTGCTCTGCATCCCTGCCCTGCATCCCTGCACCTCTGTAAACCTACATCCCTGCATCCCCACATCCCTGCCCTGCATCCCTGCATCCCCACATCCCCGCATCGCTGCCCTGCATCCTCACAACCCTGCATCCCTGCATCCTCACATTTCTGCATCCCTGCACCTCTGCATCCCCACATCCCTGCATCCCCACATCCCTGCCCTGCATCCCCAGATCCTCACATCCCTGCATCCCCGCAGTCCTGCTCTGCATCCCTCTCTCTGCCCTCTCCCTCACCATAGCTCTGGATATTGATCCACTGAACCTTGAACTCTGCTGCAGGATCTCTCCGGGGAGACACAGGCCACCGCTTCAGCCTACCCAGAGCTCCGTGCCTCAGTTTCCCTTCCACCCCATGGCGCGCCCAAGCCCTGGGCTGCCCCACAGCCCTGTGCATCCTCCCACCGGAGACCCACACTCAGCCCAGCTCCCGCTACCCTTGTGCCCCACCATGCTGGGATTCAGCCTGCTGGATTGAGCCCCCCGCTCCCTGCAGCAGCCCCCGCCGCCCCCCCCCCGCCCGGCACAGCCCTGCTGGTGGGGCCCCCCCTGCGTGGCGAGGCTGCCCCCGGCGCAGGGTCACTGCTCCTCTTCCCTCCTGAATATGCATGGGCCCCGGCCGCCACGGCCACCGCCATCACCTTTGATCCCACGTCAGGGATAACGAAATGGCTTCATCTGCGCCAGGAGATAGTGGGGGTGGCGGGGAAGGGGCAGCCTTTGTCCCCGACCCCACTGGGACAAGCCGAGCTGGGGGTCTGGCTGTGTGACCCCCTCCCCAAGCCCAAAGCTCCCCAAACGTGGTGGGGGGCTGGCCGAGCCACGAGCATCAGTGGTTTATTCTCCCTGGGGATACAGCAGCCGCCTCGAAGCACGGGAGGGGCTTTGGGGGGTGACGTGAGGGGGTGGGGGTGTCCCCCTAGATGCAGGTCTCGGTGTCGGCCGTCCCCTGCTCCAGGGTGTGCAGGCTGCGGGCCAGCGCCTGCGCCTGCCGGGCGTGCTGCCGTCGCAGGGCACCCGCCTGCAGCTCCAGGCGCCGCAGCTGAGCCGCCTGCTTCCGCCGGGCCCCCCGGTACGCCAGGGCCAGCGTGCTGCGGGGGGACACGCTCAACACCCAGGGGACAACACCCCCCCCCCCCAACCCCCCCGGGGCACCCAAGCAGGGGGCAAGGAGGGCCGTGGGGTGGGGGGTGGGGAGGGAACGTGGGTTTGGGGTGCGTAGGAAGGGACCCGGGCATCGGGGGGTGTGCAGGAAGGGATTGCAAGATGTGGCCCGGGTTTGGGGTGGGCAGGAGGGGAGTGGGGGGTTTGGGGTGGGCAGGAGGGGAGTGTGGTTTGGGTGTGCAGGGGGGACTGGGGTTTGGGTGTGCAGGGGGGACTGTGTTTGGGGTGGGCAGGAGGGGACTGGGGGGGTTGGGGTGGGCAGGAGGGGACTGGAGGTTTGGGGTGGGCAGGTGGGGAGCGTGGTTTTGGGGTGTGCACAAAGGGACTGTAGGTTTGGGGTGTGCAGGAAGGGACTGTGCATCAAGGGGTGTGTAAGATGTGACCATGGTTTTGGGGTATGTAGGTGGGGACTGTGATTTTGGGGTGTGCAGGAGGGGACTGGGGGGTTTGGGGTGGGCAGGAGGGACTGGGAATAAAGGGGTGCATAAGATGTGACCATGGTTTTGGGGTGTGCTGGAGGGGACTGGGGGTTTGGGGTGGGCAGGGGGGACCATGGTTTTGGGGTGTGCACAAAGTGACTCTAGTTTTGGGGTGTATAGAAAGGGACTGTGCATCAGGGGTGTGCAGGAAGGGACCGTGCTTTTGGGGTGTGCAAGAAGGGACCACGCTTTAGGGGTGTGCAGGTAGGGCCCATGCATCGGGGATATGCAATATGGGAGAGTGTTTTTGGGGTGCGCAGGAAGGGACCGTGCATCTGGGGCATGCACGGGGGGGATGCGCATCCAGGACATGCAGGAAGGCACCAGGTTTTGGGGTGCCGGGGTTGGTGGTGGGGGTTGTTGCTCTTCCTGCCCACCTGTGTGCGTGGAACAAATCCACGGTGACGGTGACACACTGTGCTTGCTGCGCGCGGCTGACAGCGCTGCTCCGCTCCAGGGACAGCACCAGGGCCCGCACCCGGGCACGCAGCTCCTCGGTCCTGGGGACACCTGCATGGCAGCCAGCCCGGCCACGGCTCCCCGTGGCACGGCCGCAGAATGCTGGTGAGCTCTCTTACCGGGCCAGGGTGGAGAAGCTCTTCACCCATCTTCTCCAGGTCCTGAGGGTGCTGGGAGCCGCTGCTCCTGCCCGGCCGGTTTGGGCATCCTGCAGAGTCTGGCTGTGGGTCCCATCCTTAGGGAAACCTCCCCCTCCCAGCCCTGCGGAGGGTCCCCGTGGGGATGTCGGCGGGATTCTTACCTCCTCGCTGCTGCTGGAGCTGCTGGAGGGGTTGGGGAGGCGCCGGACCCCCCATCCCGCTCCCATTCCAGATGTTGGAGCACCAGGCGCAGTGCAGCCTCCCGCGGCCCCTGTCCGGCTGCCAGCAGCTCCAGTCCCCGCTTCTCCCTCTCCACCAGCTGCAGCCGCGTCTTCAGGTCGGCCATGGCTTCCTGACAGGGCAGCAGCGTCACCACCGGGCAAGGGAAACTGAGGCACGGCCCCAACCCCCCCGCCCTTCTCCCAGCTGCTCTGTTCAAAGCCTGGACCCTGCAGAAAGCCGGGTGTCTGCTCCCCATCCCTTCATCCCCCTGCATTTCACCTTGAGCATTGCCAAGTCCTGCAGCAGCTCCGCTTTCTCCGGCCGCCTCCAGCCAGGCAGGAGAGCCCTGGCATCCCGCAGCACCTGCTCAGCCCGGGCTCGGGTGTCCTTGCTCCAGTGGGTGCTGGTGGGTGCCGGGGCGTCGCGGAGGGACGCCTCTACGGCTGCCTGCTCCGTGCGCAGCCGGCGGATGTGCTCGCGGAGGGCCCCCTCCTCCATCCCGAGGGGTGCGGGGTTGCTGTGGGGATGGGGACATGGCTGGGGTGGGCACAGTGCCCTGCCCCGGGATCGTGCCCCCTCCCTGTGTCCTCCCCCCGTACCTCTGCAGCCCGGGGAGCCGCTCTCCCCGCTCTCCTCCTGGCCGTCCGGCTCCGCTCGGCCCAGGACCTGCGGCCCCTCCGTTGGTGGGGGGCTGGACCCCCACCTGCATCCGGGGCTCTGCTCCCCCGCTGCTCCTAGGCCTTGTCCAGTATGTGCCCACTGGGGCTGTGCTGGGGACTGGGGTTCCCCCCATCCTTCCTCCATCCCCCCGATACCCGTAAGCATCTGCCCAGCGTCCCCCCAGCACCTTCCCCATGTCCCCTCGCCGTCCCCCCAAATCCTCCCTGCATCCCCTCAACATCCCCTGAGACCCCTCCAGCATTCCCTGCTCATCCTGCTGCATCCCTCCTACATCCCCCCGACATCCGCCAGCACCCCCCCAACATCCCCCCCCCGGTAACTCCCCCAGCATCTTCCCCATCATCTCCCCAGCACTCCCCCAGCCTGGCACTCACCTCCACGGCCATCATCATCCTCCGGCCCATCTTTCCCCGCATCAAGTCGAGGAGGGCGGCGTAAGCCCCCCGCAGCGCTCGCTGCAGGGACAGGGGTTCAGCGTGGCACTGCGGGCTGTGTGTGTCCCCCCCCAACTTTGTGTGTGTGTGTCCCCCATCCCTGTCCCCACCTGCAGCGCAGGGCCAGGCGCAGGGCGGTGCTGCAGGACTCGTGCTGGCCCAGCACCATGCTGAGCCGCTCCGCATCGCTCTTGCAGTCCTGCAGCGCAGCTGCCAGCCGCCGGTTCACCTCCTGCAGCCTCCCCAAGTACCTGGGCACCGCCGGCAACCACGCAGCCGTGCCTCAGTTTCCCCAAACCGGCGAGGGCTCAGCGGTCCCCAGGAGCTGGGGGGTTGTGGGGTTGAGAGGGGGGGGATACTCACCCCTGCAGCTGCTGCACCTGCACCTCATGCTCCTGGCTGGCACCCTCCGAGGGTTGGGGGGAGAGGGGGCTGTGGGGCTCAGCACTGTTGCCGCACTGGGGCGAGCCCTGTGGAGGGGACAGGCAGAGCCCAGCACCGGGGCACGATCCCACCTGCCGAGCCCCTCCCTCCCCCCCACCTCACGCCACAGCCACAGCCTGACCCCACTCACCTGGGGCAGCCCGGGCTCCCCTGCCCTGGGGGGCTGCTAAGCCCAGGGGTGTCGCTGCCAGAGCCCCCAGTTTCCTCCAGCCTGGACAGAGCATCCCGTAGCTCCCGGACCTGCGCCAAGCACCGGGCTGAGCCCCGGGGCAGCTCCGGTGACACCCTGACTCCCTGAACCAGGGCAGTGCCCACCCCGCCCCCCCCCAGCACCCACCTTCTGCTGCAGTCGGTCGCGCTCCCCCCGCAGCGCCCGCAGCGAGGTGGTGGCCCGGTTCAGCTCCTCATCCCGGCGCCCCAGGGCCGCCCGCAGTGCCACGTTCCTCGCCGCCTCCTCTGCTGGCAGCCCCGTGCCGCTCCCTCCTCTGGGTCCCGGTGCATCGCCCTCCCGGTCCAGCCTGGTGCCCGGTTTAGCTCCTCCAGGCTCTGGGGATATGGGACCCATCAGCCGGCGTCCATCCCCTTGGTGCCGGGGCTGACGGTGCCGCTGCGGCTCACCTTGGCCGCCCGTGCCCACTCCTCGCCCGGCATGGGTTGCGCTGGTGCTTGCCGGTGCCGGGAGAAAACAGCGCGTTCCAGCGAGCTCACGGCGTGCTGCAGGTCGGTGAAGAGGTCAGGGCTGTGAGCTGGGGAGAGGGAGCGTGGCCAGGGTCAGGTCCCTGGAGCAGGCACAGCTCGGCTCGCCGTGGCTTGGCACAGTTTAGTGCAGCTCGGTACGGCACGGCTCGGTATAGCTCGGTATGGCACAGCTCAGCATTGCTCAGCACAGCGCAGCACAGCTTGGTACAGCACGGCTCAGCTCAGCATGGCTTGGATTCAGCTTAGCAGGGCATGGCACAGCTCAGTACAACTCGGTACAGCTCAGTACGGCACAGCTTGGCACAGCTCAATACAGCTTGGCACAGCTCAGCAGAGCTCGGCACAGCTCGGCACAGTGCACTCACCTTCCCGAGCAGCAGCGGTGTGGAGCGTGCTGTCGAGGTGCGGGGCTGTGGGCTGGCAGCGGGGAGGCTGGCGATGCCCTCCCAGCCCTCCTCATCCTCCCTGTGGGGTGACGAAGACCAGAGATGCGGGTGGGGGGGCACACACACAGGTGGTGACAGCCCCGGTACCCCACCGCCACCCCCCACCGGTACCTGCTCGTGCGGTGCTGCAGCTGCTCGGCCCTTCGATGCAGCTGGGCCACCGTCGCCAGCAGCCCGGCGATGTGCTCCTCGTAGCCTTCGGCATCCCCCGCCATCTCTCTTCCTCCTCCTCCTCCTCTTCCTCCTCCTCCTCCTCGCTCAGTGGGTGCTGTGTGGGGAGCAGGGTGTGTCTGCCCGCTCCAGCCGACCCCGGGGGACCGAGGGGCTGACACCCACCGGGCCGGGGGGATGAATTTTGGCCACCGGCCCACTGGCCGTAGTTTCCCCCTCCCAGTTGCAGTGCGGGGCGGGAGATGCCCGTGCCATGGCAGGGGAAGCGGGCAGAGGCACGAGGAGGCCCCGGCCACACGGGACCATCCCCTGGCAGCACCCATCCCGTGGGACACCCCACTTGCCCTCTCCATGGCGGCCTCCTCCTGCCCGCGACGCCCCACGGCTCGGCCCCGTTCCACGGCGGAGCTCCCAGCACGTCCCAGTTGTGCCGCCAGCCCCTGCCCCTGGGCCTTTCCCTGTCCTTGTTCCTGCAGAGATTTCCTCTTCCTCGGCAGGCGCAGCCTCCCGCGCTTAACCGTTGCGCTGCCCCGTGCCCCGGGTGGGCGGTGGAGCCATCCTGGGGGGCTTGACACCCCCTCCTCCCCCCAAAAAAAACCCCATCCTTCCCTGCTGTGCCCCACCGTGCCATGCTGGACCCCTCTCCATGCACCGGGCTCCCTCGCACCCAGGCAGGAGAATACACCCAGCTCTGCACCCATGAGCACCCCATGGAATTTGGGGGGGGGGGGGGGAGGCAAGGGAAGGGCACCCAGAACATTTAGGAGAGGTGCGCAGGGGTGTGCACAAGCATTTGGGGTGCTAGGAGGCATTGCGTGGGGTGCTGGGTGTGCGAGGCCAGGAGGGAGCCAGCCCAAGGGGTGTGGGCAGCGCGTGGGTGCTTAGGGGCTGGAGGGTGGTGTTTGGGGTGCAAAGGGGTATTTAGGGTGCGGAGGGGGGCAGTTGGGCAGCGCAGGGGTGCTGCGCGGGTGTTCGGAACACTGGGGCTGTGCACGGGGGGGTGCAGAGGGATGGTGCAGGGGGGTGCGCATGGATATTTGGGGTGCAGGGGGCGGCGCGTGGGTGGAGGAGGGTGTGTATGGGTGCTGGGGGTGCGGGGGGGAGCGCATGGGTGCTCCTGGCCCCACGTGCCCGGGGGGGGGGGGGGGGAACCTCGGGGAACTACAAGTCCCAGCAGACCTTGCGCGGCGTCGCTTCCGGGTGGGATAGGGCGGGGCTCGCGCGGCCGGGAGAGGGTGAGCGCGCGCCGTGGGGTGAGGGGGGTGCGTGGATTTGGGGGGAGGGAGTAGGTGAACAGTGAGTGCATGGTGCCGGAGGGTGAAGGTGGGGCGGGGGGTGCGTGGAACGGGGGGGGGGGGGGGGGGCGGGGGCAGTGGGGGGTGCGAGCTAGGGGGTGCACGAAGTGTGTGTGTGGGGGAGACGGGGTGTACGTGAGCAGGGGTGCACAGAGTGGAGGGAGCGTGGGGCAGGTTGTACATGAGCAGGGGGCGCACGGAGCGGGAGGAATGCGAGCAGGGGGTGTAATGATTGGGGAGGGCGTGGGGCAGGGGCGATGTGAATTGGGGGGGCATGGGGGCAGGGTGTACATGAGCAAGGGGGTGCACAGAGCGGGGGGGGGGCGTGGGGTGGTGGGGGGGCTCGAAGGGAGGGGTATGGGGCAGGGAGTGCATAGAGTGAGGGGGAAGCAGAGTGTGGGGGGGTCGTGAGTGGGGGGTGCAGGGTGGGGGGGTCATGAGCAGGGAGTGCACAGATTGGGGGGCGGGGGGGATGTGAGCAGGGGGTGCAGAGACTGGGGGGATGCAGAGTGGAAGGGGGCGTGAGCAGGGGGTGCGGGGAGGGGCACAGAGTGGATGGGGGCGTGAGCAGGGGGTGCACAGATTGGGGGAGTGCATGGTGGGGGGTTGTGAGCAGGGGTGCACAGATTGAGGGGGCGTGGGCAGGGGGGATGTGAACAGGGGGTGCAGCAGGGTGGGGGGGATGTGAGCAGGGGGTGCACAGAGTGGGGGGGGCATGAGTGGGGTCGTCGTCAGCAGGGGATGCACAGATTGGGGAGGGCATGGGGTGGGGGGGGATGTAAGCAGGGGGTACACGGAGCCGGGGGGGGGTGGCCCCGGGGGGCACAGGGCTGCAGCAGCACTGACACCCCACAGCCACCCGGCATCGGTCCCCGGAGCCGCCATGGAGCGCGGCTGCGCGATGGACACGTCGGAGCCGGGCAGCGCTGCCGAGGAGGAGGAGGAAAAGGCGCCGGAGCCGCGGCCCAGGACCCGCTCAAACCCCGAGGGTGCTGAGGACCGGGCGCTGAGCGCCCAGGCCAGCGTGGGCAACCGCAGCGAGGGGGAGGGGAGGCGGCCAGCGCCGACGACAGCCCCCAAAGCACCGCTGTGCCCGACGGCACCGCCTGGCCCGGCCCCGCGCCCCCGCCGAGGTCCAGGTCAAAACGCCACGGGTGAACTGCCCCGAGAAGGTGGTGGGTGTCTGGGAGGGGGGGTGGCGGGGGGGGGGGGGGGGGAAAGTGTGGCGCAGCCCCGACGCCACGGTGAGGGCTGCGAGGGGTTTTTGCGGGGTGCTCAGGAGTGGCTCCTCCACACAGATCATCTGCTGGACTTGGCGGAGGAGATGGCTCTGCCCAAACTGGAATCTTTTAATGGGTGAGCGTTGGAGGGCTGCTCCTAGGTGGGCTGGCCCTGGGGACCCTGGCTTTGCTGTCCCTGTCATCACGGGGGGGGTGGGGACACACACGCTGGTCCCGCTGAGCTCCGTCCCCCGCGGCAGATCCAAGACCAACGCGCTGAACATCTCCCAGAAGATGATCGAGATGTTCGTGAGGACGAAGCACAAGATCGACAAGTGCCACGAGTTCGCGCTGGTGGTGGTGAACAACGACGCCACGTGGGTGAGTGGTGGGGACAGGGGATGAGAGGGGGGGGGCACGGAGCCCAGCCCCCCCCTCACCCCCACCCCTCTCAGCTCTCAGGGTTCACCTCGGACCCCGCGAGGTCTGCAGCTGCCTCTACGACCTGGAGACCGTCGTCTGCAAGTCATTCAGTATCCCACCGCCTGTGGGGCTGGGGTTTGGGGGGGGGCCGGGACCCCGAGGAGTCCCTTGGGTGCAAACGAGGGGTCCCTTGGGTGCAAACAGGGTCCCTCAAGGCAAAGTGGGGACCCTTCAAGCCTGTTGTCTGCGGGTGGCAGCAGCTCTGTGGCCTCACTGGCAACCCCGGCACAGCCGAGCCGGCCGCAGCACAGAGCGTCAGTGTTTGAGGCTGGAGGGTTGAACCAAGCCCCCTGACAACCCACCAAACACACATTTATTGGTGTTTCCTCCTCACCCTGGTCCCTCCGCAGTGCCCAGTGCCGTCTCCTCCCTCCACGGGATCTCCCTGGGTGCCCCAGTGTGGGTCTGGGTGCAGGACGTCCCTGGGGGTGGGCAGGCGTCTGGGTGCCAGGATCGGTCCTTACCTGGGGCTGCAGATCTGGAGGGACTCTTCAACCTGATGTGAGTACGGGTGAGGGGGGGACAGGGGCTGCTGAGGGGGGGGGTGGTTCACAGCTCCCATCTCACTACGAATTTTCTGCTTTGCTGTAAAAACGCCGCGCAGCTTTAACCCAAAGAGCTTCTTGGGGTTGGGGGGGGGTGGGGGGGGAAGGGTGCTGCTTTCCCAGCCCAGAGCTGTCAGCGGACACTCATTAAGTTTTAACGAGGTGGGGAGGAGAGGGGCCTGAGCCTATGGGGGGTCCTGAGCTGCCTCCCTGTCTGTGTGTGTGTGTTCCCTCCCCGCCGGCGCAGCCAGCAGAAGATCGAGCTGCCGGTGACGGAGAACGTACAGACCATCCCACGCCCTACGTGGTCCGGACCATCCTGGTGTTCGGCCGCCCGGGCTGCCAGCCCCAGTTCTCCATGTCGGAGCACATGAAGGTAGAGGTGTGTGTGTGTGTGTCCCTCTCCTTGTGTCCCCCACCCCTCGTGTCCCCCTCTTCTTCCGGGTGAAGTCAGCTCTGGCTCCATCCCGGCGCCGTTCCCGGCTTCTCCCGCAGAAGACGCTCCAGTGTCCCTACTTCTTCTTCGACGTGTTTACATCCACAACGGGGCGGAGGAGAAGGACGACGAGATGAGCTGGAAGGTAAATACGAATTGGGTGTGTCCCCCCATTGCAATGGGGGGGGTGGGTGTGTCACCCTGTGTGTTTGTGGTCCCCCCCAGGAGATGTACGCCTTCTTCAGCAGCCTGGACACCAAAGGCACCAACTACAAGTACGAGGTGTCACTGGCGGGGCCGGCGGTGGAGCTGCACAACTGCATGGCCAAGCTGCTGGCGCACCCGCTGCAGCGACCCTTCCAGACCCACGCGGCCTACAGCCTGCTGGGGGAGGATGAGCCCCCCGAAATCGAAGCCACCGTCTGAGCCGTGGGGACTGGGCGGGGGTGGGGAAAGGGGGGGTTTTCCTCCTCGCCAATGGCGGGGGGGGTGGGCTGGCGAAGGGCAGCGGTGTGCAGTGTTACCGGAGGTGGGGGGAAAGAGAGGTTTGTTCCTGAGTGGGTAGTGTGTAGTGCTGATGCTGTGGGATCGCAAAACTGGGGGGCGGGGGTGGTGGTGTCACTTTTCTGTGTTCCCCCTGCCCCATCCTGCCACCCTGCCATGGGGATGAGGGGTCCTGTGTGCTGGCGGGGGACCCCGGGGGGCTTTTGCCATTAACATGGGGGTGCAGGGTAACTGGGAGGCGCCGGGTGGGGCTGGTGCAGGGCTCTGGGAGCCCTGATGGAAGGTGCTGGAGGCACTGGGCAGTGCAGGTGCAAGGCGCTGGGTGGGGCTGGTTGCAGTTGTTGGGATGTGCTGGGTGGTGCTGGTGCAGGGAACTGGGAGCACGGTGCAGTTACTGGGGGGCACTGGGTGGAGCTGGCGCAGGATGGTGCTGGTGCAGTTACGGGGTGGTGCTGGCGCAGTTACCGGGTGGTGCTGGTGCAGGGCACTGGGAGGCACTGGGAGCACTGGTGCAGTTACTGGGGGCACTGGTGCAGGGCACTGGGAGGCACTGGTGCAGTTACTGGGAGGCCCTGGGTGGAGCTGGCGCAGGATGGTGCTGTGCAGTTACGGGGTGGTGCTGGCGCAGTTACTGGGGGGCACTGGTGCAGTTACGGGGTGGTGCTGGCGCAGTTACGGGGTGGTGCTGGCGCAGGCACTGGGAGCACTGGTGCAGTTACGGCGGGGCACTGGTGCAGGGCACTGGGAGGCACTGGTGCAGTTACTGGGGGGCACTGGGTGGAGCTGGCGCAGGATGGTGCTGGTGCAGTTACGGGGTGTGCTGGTGCAGTTACGGGGTGGTGCTGGTGCAGTTACTGGGGGCACTGGTGCAGTTACTGGGGGGCACTGGTGCAGTTACAGGGTGGTGCTGGTGCAGTTACGGGGTGGTGCTGGCGCAGTTACCGGGTGGTGCTGGTGCAGGGCACTGGGAGGCACTGGGAAACTGGTGCAGTTACTGGGGAGCACTGGGTGGAGCTGGCGCAGGATGGTGCTGGCGCAGTTACGGGGTGGTGCTGGCGCAGGGCACTGGGAGGCACTGTGCAGTTACTGGGGGGCACTGGGTGGAGCTGGCGCAGGACGGTGCTGGTGCAGTTACGGGGTGTGCTGGTGCAGTTACTGGGGGGCACTGGTGCAGTTACTGGGGGCACTGGTGCAGTTACGGGGTGGTGCTGGCGCAGGGCACTGGGAGCACTGGGAGCGCTGGTCGGTTACTGGGGGGCGCTGGGCAGTGGCGGCGCAGGGCACTAGGGGGCGCTGTGGGGCGCGGGGCGCTTTGGCCCCGCCCCTCGAGCGTCATCCCATCTGGCGGAGGGGGGGGTGGGCGTGGCTTCCCTCGACCGGCTCCTATTGGCCGCCTCGCCGGCCAATAAGCGGCGGGGCGGCGGTGCTGCGCGGGGGTTTCGAACGGGTGCGGGCGCCGCGCGCATGCGCAGGGCGGCAGGAGGGGCGCGGGGTGGCGCGAGCCGTAAGGGGACACCGCGGGGAGGGGAAACGGGGACATTGGGGGTATTGCACCGGGGGGGGGGGGTGGAAAGGGGGAGATTGGGGACATTGCATAGGGGGGGAGGGGAATGGGGATATTGGGGCTATTGCACCGGGGGGGGGGGAAGGGGAGATTGGGGACATTGCATTGGGGGGGGGGGGGGAGGGAAATGGGACATTGGGGATATTGCACCGGGGGGGGCGACCAAGGAACACGACCTCGCACGGGTGCGGGAGGGGCTTTGCAAGGGCGGGGGCTCTGCAATACCGGCCTTGCACCGGGCGAGGGGGCGCGTTGCATGTGCTGAACCTCGGGGTGTGGGGTGGGGGGTGGGGGGTTGCGGAGGGGTATCCCCGCCTGCGCTACCCCGGCGGGGCGGGGCAGCATTCACGGTGCTGGGGGACC